GCCCCAGATCCCTAAGTGGCCCCCTCAAGGATTGAACTCACAACCCTGGGTTTAGCAGGCCAATGCTCAAACCACTGAGCTATCCCTCCCCCCATTAATAGATTAATGAGGCACAGTTTTCCTTGGCAGAAGCTGTGCTGTTTAAACACTATGATAGGCTCTTTTAGATGTTTTATAAAACTTACCAGGTATGGAAGTACCTAAATCCAAATTTAGCTTCCTGAGCTCCCAGTGTCGCTGGTACTAGTATGTACCATGGCCACAGCCTGCTCCCCAGAACTCACTGGAAGTCTGTCCATATGTCGCATAATATCAGCCACCTTCACACACACACCAAAGGGTTCTCACGCTCACCAGATGCCTGCCCAGCTATTGATATTCACAGTGAACAAACCCTGCCTGTGTCTCCAACTGTAACCCCCTCTTTCCTTAGAGCAGTCTCCTCAGTGTGTGAAGATTATCAGTGGCTCATGAAAATCCCAAGCCTGGAACAGCAGGGGTGTGAGTGGATAGAAGTGAAATGCATTGGCAGAACTCTAGGGGTGGAACTCAGACTGGAATAGTGAGGATACTGGGGATCAGCAGCCCAGTAGCTCAGTAGCACTGCATGGGAAGCCTAGGACTGGATAGTGGGGCATGACAGAGGGGCTGCAGGAGGGATAGGGGAAACTTGCTCAATGTCTGCACACTCTGTCTGGTTACACATGCTTCTAACCTTGAGGGGAGCACCAGAAATTAGAAAATAGACCTGGGAGATGGCACTGTGCAGGGGTTTTCCATTCAGTGGCTCTGGGGCCAGGGCAGGGTTGTTCCCAAGAATGCAGTGTTAAAAGAGCTCTGTCCAGGCTTTCCTTGAATGGCCATTATGTAACAAAGCTTCAGGGCCATCTGCCAGCCTCACCACAACATCTCTTCTTTGCTTCTCGGTGCCCTCAAGGCTCCTCTCCAAGGATGCAACCTCCCCATGCAACGTCACAACCTCCTTCTTTAGGGCAATGACCTCTTCTTGCAGCATGGCCTGGAGTGAGCCCTGCTTCCCTTCTACCATCCGCATCTCTGCAATGGGGAAGGGGGAGAAGAGGAACCAAAACAAAACCAAACAATGCTGGGCAAGAGCCATAATCTTTCCATTCAACTGCCCTTTGCTTCCCAGGCTCCAGCCCACAAAGGGGAGATTGGGTTATGCTCAGAGAAGTATCTTGGTCTGAGGTATTTGGCTTAAGGAAGTTCAGGTGAAACCAGAGTTCACAGGCAAAGGGAATGAAGAAGGAGCAGTCAATAAGATTAGATTAACAGACTGGTGCAGTGAACATCTTCAGTATAGTAGTGAGAGCAGAGGTGGATAAGATTACAAAAGGAAAATATATAGGACGGAAAAGGATGAATACCAACTGACGGAGGGCTCCATCCAAGGACAAGTCTGGGTGCAGAGGAGCTGGTACCACACAGGAGGGAGCAATAAGGTTGCAAAATGGGGCAGGGATCGCTAGCAGGAGGGTTCTCTGCCAATTGAAGTCACTAAGCCACAGGATTTGGGGACTTCAACAGCAGAGTCAAGGGAAAGGGTAGGGACGGCTTTGTGGCCTGCAGCATGCAGGGGGTCAGACCAGATGATCATAATGGTCCCTTCTGACCTTAAAGTCTATGAGTCTATGAGGATGTTGCAGAATTAGAAAGAATTCCAAGACGGGCAATAAGGGGCTCTGCCATAGAGATAGACTGAAAAGACTCGGACTGTTAAACTAGGCCTAGGAGATGTGATAGAAGCCTATAAAATACTGACTGGTCTAGGGCAGGAGGATAGGGAGTTTATGTTCCACTACACAGGAACAGGGGACAATCCATTACACTGAAAGGCAGACAATTCCAAGTGTTTGGTGGGTACGAGTGGTGCCATGACAGACGAGAAGCCAAGATGCCTGCATAGTTGTAGTATGGAGGGGTTCACAGTACTGGAGGCCGTGGGAAGCGAGGAAGAGTGAGAGAGACAGGACAATTAGCTACATGGGGAGTAGTTACTGTGCTATAGCCTAGGGCAAGACCCAGAGTGAGATCTGTTCGAGGGGCTGCTGTTGTATGCGAAAAGTGACTGGGGAGATGAGAGACAGTGTCTCCATCAAGCATTTTGCTGAGGGTGGGAGGTTCAGCAGCAGCCTGTGCTCAGACTGTATCAGGGCTAGGAAGGGGAGGGTTGAGAAGGAAGCAGAAGCAGCAGATTGTAGAAAACTGGGGAAGGTAGCAGAGGCACATGATTTATTGACAACTGCAATAACTCAAGGATCCTGGGGGAGGAGACAGAGCTAATGCACTGGAAAATGGAGGAGAAGCCTCCGTTACTCAGGAATACCCTAGGTTAGCACAGGGCAGGAGGAGAGAAGATAGAACTCTTCAAGTACTGCAAGGAGCACAGCAGGGAACCAGGGCTGTCTCTCTGTAATGAGTCACAGTTTATTCAGGAGCGCCAGTCTGTGTGGGCTCTCACAGTCGCTCTTCCTCTCCCCCAACTGCCATCTTCACTCCCTTGCTGATAAAGCAGAGTGGGCCTGGTACAGTGGGAAGGAGAGCAGCCATACCTTCCTGGCTTTGGGACAACCACTTCTGCAGCTCTTGGGTGTGGGTTCTGAGACAGTCTCTCTCGGCCTCCTTTTTGCTCAGCTCCTGCTCCAGCTTCTGAGCCTTGTTCCTGGCATCATCCTGGAAAAAGCAGGAGAGGCTGTATGAAGCTACACACACACGGTGCCAGGACAGCAGAGAGAGGGAAGCCTAGGGCATAGACTCAGACAGAGCAGGGCCATTACCAACAGGGGCAGTAGTAGTAAGTGGGATCCCTACAGAGGGGGTATTCCCCTCTCCCCATGATGGAGCAGGTCTAGGCTGCACTGGCACAGGGAACTAGAGCCAGCTCGGCCACACCACCTTATTTTGCTGCTAAGCTCAGCAGAGGGGCAGGGGAAGTGAGTACATTGAGGAGAGCCGTTACCCGATCTCGCAGAGTCTGCCTCAGGTCCTGGTGCAGGTTCCGGAAGGCTGTTGCCACTTTCTCTGCTGTGAGCTCTATGGGGAGGTCCTTAGGTTGAGGCCCAGTAAGCCCACAAACACGGTCCTGTTCTGGAAATATGAGCCCTGGGATTAGTATTTGGCCAAAGGGTCGCCAGTGACAGAGCCCTGCTTACACGTAGGAGAAGCTGGCAGGGTTTGGAGACCTCCCAGGGGCAGGTCCCATAGATGTGACAGTGAATAGGTGACACACTGCACATTACCTTGACTGCCCAGTAGTGCCACTGCAAATGTTGCATTCTCCAATGGCTACTGGAGCTGTATTTCACCCTGGGGCTGAGGTCGCTTCCACATTCACAAACACTGCCTTAGTTCTCTCTGCAGTGAGCTTTTTGGGGCATAGGCCTGCCCTCCGTGCCCATCCTGGCTTTAGAAACAAAGGCTGCCACGCTTGCCAACAGCCCCATGTTTCTGTTCTGTGTCTCACATCCCTGTTTGTTCCAGCAAATGAGGCTGAAATATGATCCAGCCGCCGATCTCTTATAGACACTAGATGCTATTGCCAGGCGTGCATCCTGCTGGCTTTCCCTTCACACAGGAGTGCTCTGCAGCACTACGCCAGGAGAGACAGTCTCCTCCCACACCACCAGCCCTCAGCAGCAGCTCCTCTCAGGAGGCAGTAACATGCAGAAGGAGAGGGGATGTCAGAGACCCCTCTTGGAGGCACTGGCAAGGGAGGGAGAAATGGCCCCTGGAGAAAAACGGGGGAGGGGAGTAAAGCACACAATGCAATTTCATCAGCTCTGAGAAACACTAGCACATCCCCAAACAGCCCTGCCCCCTGCCCACCTGGATTTCTACCACCTAGGCTTGGTACCTGTTTTTGATACGTTGACAGGGAGGTTGCAATGAAATATCCTTACAAAATCCATGCAATATTTTCTGGAAGCTTCTTGGAGCAATGTCCCAGGAGACATTTCTAAGTATTGGCAACTGAGCCATGTGGGACTCCATGCAATCAGCAGCACAGGTGGGCTGGTGACCGGCCCTGGGCTCTCTGGCTTGTAGTGCTTCCTGCATCTTGCACGGCATCCCGTAAGATGTATAACCCATCATCCATGGTGCCTGCTATTGAGGTCAGCCATGCAGATCTGGAGTCCCTGGAAGCTTCTGACCAGCCCTAAGGCTAACCTAATCAGCAGTTCCAGAAGAAGTGGAAGAACACTCCTTCCGGGGGCCAGAATTTGCTAGAACATGTTCCATTTGAAAAGTGTAATATGCTGTCCGTTCGCCCAGAATGGAGGGCCAAGAATTGCTGTGTCAGAGACTGAGGACTTCTCTTGGGCCAAGAGCCAGAGTAAAGGGTTCCCCACTGTTCCTAGCCTTCCCCAACCAGAGCAAGGCCACTGGGAAGCGACATGGGCCAGGAAATCAGGACTAGGAAGGGAACCCCAGCTCTCCTCCACTAGGCTGTAAAGCCTTCTCAGCCTAGGGACAGATCCACATGGCCTTCTGGGAGCAAGCCTAGAGCACACTGGCACAGACACCAGCCACACTCACCTGCACTCCATGTGACGAGGTCTCCACTTGCCAGAGTGCTGCCACACAGTGTGTGCTGCAGAACGGTGTGCAGCCTGGCCAGCTGGGACTCTGATTCACTGCGGGCACTGCTGGCGAGGTGGCACTCCACAGCCAGTGCCTCTGCCCGGCTCTCGGTGCTGCAAAGGCTAAGGCGCAGCTGAGACACCTCTGCCTCTAGTGTCCGCAGCAAATCCCTCAAATGCCGCTCACCCGCCCGCGACTCCTCCTGTGACAGCTGCTTCTCATGGGCCACTAAACCAGCCTCTTTCTCTAGCAATGCCTGCCTGAGTGAGTGGACCTGCAGAGAAGAGAAACACAGGCCCTCGGGGGCTCAGCATGACTACTGCGAGGGCAGGGAGGAGTAGAGAGCCCGACGGAGGAAGCTGCTTTCAGGCAGACACCTTCCTACAGCCAAAGGCACAAAACTGAGGCAGTGCTGAGATCAGATTGGAAATAAGCTCTGGGACCTTCAGGGACCAAGAGCTCCCCACCCCCAGGGAAACACAGATATTGCTCCCTGCCCCACCATGCCCTCACCCTCAGAAAGAATCCAGAAGAAAAACACGGGGTGAAAGAGGCTCCTGAGCGGGAGCCAGTTACGTCATAGTGGAGGTGAACTACCTGACAAAAACATGGAGGCAGGAACAGCGAGATGGTCAGTCCCTCACGTTGAGTGTCTGGGACCTCCCACCTTCCCAGCTCTGAGCTCCCTTCCTCCTCCCCGTAGCAGAGAGAGAAGTTAGTGCTTTGCAGGGCTAGGCACAGCCACCTGGAGCCAACAACTGCGATAGAGGCTTTGAGATGCTCCACAGGAGTCTGCTGTTCTCTCTGGGGCTCAGGGTCTGCAATCAGGGGGTTAAGATGTAGGGAGGGCAGAGCCAGAGCCAGGCTTCGGCACCATAGCTCCAAGGCTGCGAGCAGGTGAGGGGAGAGGAGGCAGTGTTACAGGAGTGGAAGCAGTGGAGGGGGGGACAGGGACCAGAATACAGTGGCTGGGGAGGGTGGGGCTGGTCCTGGGCAAGGCTGATGTGCTGCTGGGGAAGGGAATGCTGGTGTGCAGGGCACCTGTGTGTTGAGCTCCTGTATCTCTCTTCTGTGGTCAGAATGGAGCTGTTGAGCTTGGCAAATGGCTGCCTGCAGGCTGATGATCTCACTCAGCTGGGCATCATCTCTCTCCTGGAAGGTCCTGAGTCTCAGCTCCTTCCCCTCCAGGGCCAGAGCCAGGCTGAAAGAGAGAAGGGACTCAGTAATCCTGGCAAGAACAACAAAGAGTCTAGTGGCACCTTAAAGACTAACAGATTTATTTGGGCATAAGCTTTCGTAGGTAAAAAACCCACTTCTTCAGATGCATGGAATGAAAGTTACCTGGCAGCTCAGTGCCTGGAGTGGGGGAGGGGTGATGCTCTGATGGCAATGTGATGGGGGGGGGTGGCGGCTCTGTAATCCTGGAGGCTCAGTGCCTGGAATGGGGGAGGGGTGACGCTCTGATGGCAATGTGATGGGAGGGGCGGCTCTGTAATCCTGGCGGCTGTGTGACAAAGGTGGGGAGACTCTCTCTAAGCCTGGCAGCACCACAACAGGGGGGTTTCGTAAACCCAGTGGTGCCGCGATGGGAGGGACAGAGGTGGGATCTCCGTAAACCCGGGGCTCTTTGTGGTTTAATATTTAACAAGCCCTCGTGAGTCAAATCTGGCAGGAGAGAAGGCCGGGCCCTTTCCTAATCCCACAGACACTCTGCTCATTCAGTCCCATGCTAGCACTACAGTCTTGTCCCTGTATTAGCAGTCCCAATGTATCTGCTGTTTTTAAAGAGGGAGAGATGATCTCATAAGAATGGCCACACTGGCTCAGACCAATGGTCCATCTTGTCCAGCATCCTGTCTTTTGATGGGGCCAGTACCAGCTGCTTCAGAGGGAATGAAAAGAACAATAGAAATTATCAGGAGAGCCATCCCTGTCAGCCAGTCCCAGCTTCTGGCACTCACAGGTTTATGAACACCCAGAGTGTAGGGTTGAGTCCCTGATCATCATGGCTAGTAGCCATTGATGAACCTATTCTCCAGGAACTTATCTCGTTCTTTTTTTAACCCAGTTATACTTCTGGCCTTCACAACATCCGCTGGCAACAAGTTCCGCAGGTTGACTGTGGTATGTGAAGTACTTCCTTTCGTTTGCTTTAAACCTGCTGCCTATTATTTCATCAGGTGCCTCCTGGTTCGTGTGTTATGTGAAAACGTAAACAACACTTCCCTATTCACTTTCTCCATGCCATTCATGATGTTCTAGATCAGTGGTGCTCATACTTGTGTACTGGTGACCCCTTTCACACAGCAAGCCTCTGAGTGCGACCCCCCCATTACAAATTAAAAACACTTATTAATATATTTATCACTATTATAAATATTGGAGGCTAAGCGGGGTTTGGGGTGGAGGCTGAGAAGCTCACGACCCCTCATGTAATAACCTCGCGACCCCCGAGGATGTTCCATACAAGGCACTCAGACATTTGAAATGTCATTAAGGGCAACCAGCTGGGTAAAGGAATTGGCTAATCATGCTGAACTGTGAGAAATCCAGCAGTCTCCAGGAGGCAAACCTGGGCAAAGCCACTACAGCTGCAGCTATGTCCCTAGGGAGTGCCTTTGCTGACTGCTGTCAGAAGGAAACTGCCAGGCTACTGCACAGTGCAGTACAGGCACCCCAGTGGGAGAACGTAAGAGCAGGCCCCTAATTGTGCCAACACCTCAGAGCTTTGGGAGATGCTCCCTGATTAGCTTGCATGTGCACAGACCTGAAAGCAGGAATCAGTTAAGATTGAAAACAAAATATCTAGCCCACATCACACTTGATTTCTGCCCACCTGGCTCTTTCACTCTCCAGGGCTCTGAGCCTGGCCTGGAGCTCTGTGTTCTGACGCTCCGCCACCTCCCGTCGGCTCCTCTCCCCCTCCAGGGCTCCGAGCGTGGCCCAGAGCTCTGTGTTCTGACGCTCCGCCTCCTCCCGTCGGCTCCTTTCCCCCTCCAGGGCTCTAAGCGTGGCCTGGAGCTCTGTGTTCTGACGCTCCGCCTCCTCCCGTCGGCTCCTCTCCCCCTCCAGGGCTCTAAGCGTGGCCTGGAGCTCTGTGTTCTGACGCTCCGCCTCCTCCCGTCGGCGCCTCTCCCCCCCCCGGGG